GTCTAGCCCATCCATTTAACTTAATCAATATCAATATAACCTTAGACACAAGCAATAACACAATATACATACCTCCTACAGTAACTTCAAGTCAAAATCCAAGTTATATTCATTTNTTCAATTGGTTTAGCTTCTAAGATTTCCAACCCTCTTGGTACTCGTTATTCATGATCTTAAATATTTGTAACCTCCAACGTAACATGATTAACTTACTTTATTTTCTTCCAAATATAATCTCATTTCCGAGCTTACATCAATGACTTACGATGTACTCTCATGTATGAAAACTTGGGGTGTGACAATACTACTTTGATATGCGTGAATGTATCTCTTTACAAAATGATTAGGACCCCCTTTATATAGTAGAGAAATCATATTTATGGTACAATTCTAATTACATAAGTAAATCTCATGATAGGCTAAACTTCCAATCCTGACTCAATATCTGCCGAGATTTCTGTCACGATCCTCGCCCGATCACGGATATCTCGGCTTTATTTTATCCATTGTAGCAGGCTTCCTTTCATCTTGCTCGATCTCTTTCTTACTTTGTTCTCGATCATGGTTGTTCTTGATCTTGATCGGCCATTGATCCACGAGCTTATCAATCCATCTCCGTAACTCGTTCCGATATAACTGGGTCGGGCCTTAATCTTCCGTCCCGACTTTGGTTAGTCGTACAAAATTAGGCAAGCCCGATTTTGACAGTATACAAACGTGGTCCACCTTATTTCTATTTTCCACCTATAATTAATTACATCTTTGTTCAATCCGAGAAGTGCTCTTCTCTTCTTCCTGCTCCTGATCCCTTACGCATTACATAATGACTGCATTCACAAAATCAATCGGTAAAATCTTTTGAAAATATAGTAATAAAAATATCTAAATGAAGTAGATATCTTACTAACCTTAATTATAGGTGGACATTTTGGTGGTACCACAGTCAGCACATGTCTTGAGTTGGCTTTGGCTGTTTTCTCTTTCTGTTTGGCTCATCATATCCTTAGATCCCGAATCCTATACCAAAAATGAATCAATCCAAATCAGATATTAGTAAAGTATGATCAAAGGTAAAATGGTTCAATGGTGGATCTTCATCACTCACTTTATCACTTAGATCCATCACTTTGATCAACTAATTAACTAGAAAGACCTGATAAAAATTGATCCAAGTGAAAAGAACATCCAACAGAACAACGCTGCCCTCAAACAAGTCCCTCTTCTCCACCCCAAAATGACCTCAAAATAGTCTTGAAGACACCGTAAACTACCCACTAACACCACCTGAAAAAACCTCTAAAACCAGCTGAAAAACTAACGGCAAAAACAAAAAGACGTCTCAAGCCCATGCACTCGCCCCTACTCTCCTTATTCTGTCCTTCTACCTTCAGTGAAGTAAAGGCTTCAGAATAAGCCCAATTTACATCAACCGAGGTAAGCTCGTTACTTTTCAGTAGTATTTGGCCCTACATTGGTATATTTGATAAATATTAGCCAGAGTTGAGCCCTTCGGCTGAAATTGTCCGTTGTTTCTAGCAAGTTTCTTGAGTGATGTGGCAAGTATTAGCTGTGGGGTGGGAAATTATCCCAAATATAATAAAGGAGAATTATTCGAGCTAACTTTTTGTGAGAAATTTTGCAAATGGGTTGCAAACAATTTGTTTTTCAGCCTTTGTTCTACTTTTCTCTCTTTCAACGTGGTCCACTCCATTTCCATTTTGCAACAATTAATTACATATTTCTTAAATACGTAGATAGACCATTAAACAAGTCCAAATATTTCACCTCAGGGGTGGACCCACGTGTAAGGTTTTGGGTGTTGCAGCACCCACTGACCCACTGAGACTCAGTATACTTATATAAAGATTTTATGAAAACTGAGCAAACCAGTCCCAAAAATTATTTGCTGGAGGTCTTACTATTATTGAAGGAATTTTGTTCATGGAAGGTCCATTTCCCAATGTTTCCTGACTTCATTTCATTATTGTTAGTTTTAGCAAATGTTTGATCAAGTTTATTCATCTTCCAAGTCGGAGTGACTTATTCGTAGTTGGTTTATTAATTAGGTTCTTCCAATTCGGATTGGTATTTTACTCCTGACATGAAATACCTCGAGAAATACTCTGAAGGGAGGAATTTCGTTTCCAAATTTAGGAGAAATTTGGGTCAGTGATTGCTTTTGCTAAGGGATATTTTCATAGATGTACTATATACTAAGGGATCCTTATTTTTAACTAGTTTGTATATAACTGATAAATTATATATGTAATTAATTTAAAACATCTTGAATAGGAGTATATAAGCTTAAAATACAATATTGTTAGGTAAAAATCTCTTAAATATATACCAAAGATAGTATTGCTTAGGAGGAAAGAAAGTGTCACGACCCAGATTTTCCACCCTCGAGAGTCGTGATGGCGCCTACTAATGAGAGCTAGGCAAGCCAATCCTTAACTACTTACTTCATTATCAAATTACTTCTTTTTAACACTTATAAAGAGATAACATGAAAACAGCGGAACTTTAAATAATTAAGCGAAAGGTAACAATTAAACATCTGAATTCTACGTCTATTACAATTACTTTGAGTCTCAACCTCCCAAAATCTGGTGTCATAGACGGTCTAAGATTTTCTACATACAAAGTCTGAAGAATAATAATACACTGTTCCGGAATATAAGGGAAATGAAATAGGAATAGTAGGTAGAAGAAGACGCCAAGGCCTGCGGATGCCTGCAGGACTACCTCGGGTCGCCTGATGAGCAAGAATCATCAATCCCACTGCGGTTCGAAGTCTACAACCCTGGGGTCTACACAAAAGAGTATAGAGTGGAGTATCAGCACAACCGATCTCATGTGCTGGTAAGTGCCTAGCCTAACCTCGGCGAAGTAGTGACGAGGATAGGACCAGACTACCAAATAAACCTATACAATTTAACTATATATAGCAGAAAAGAAGTACGGAAAGAAACGGTCACATACAGTCAAGTATGAGAGGGGGGAACATGTTGCGGGGAAACATCAAATAGTAACAGAAAAGCAACAAATAAGTATGAGGATCACCACCGTTCAATTGAAAATAGAAGGGGAAATCATACTACGGGGTACAACAAGTATCAACAGGAAGCCAGCAATTTAGTGTAGAGAAATCGTAACACGGTTATAAATAATAAAATTAGGGAAATCAAAGACAAGTGCACGGCATCACCCTTCGTGCTTTTACTCTCTCTCACCAAGACTATACACGGCATCACCCTTCGTGCTTTACGCTCTTCCTCACCCAAACAACAATCACAAGGCAAATAGGGTAAGAGAATCTATAATCTCAAAGTAAAATCAAATAACAAAGTAATTAAGGAAACAACATAACTCGGATATCAACAAAGAATCAGAAATCAACAAATGCACGGCATCACCCTTCTTGCTTTTACTCTCGTCCTCACCCAAGCAATCATATAATAAAAATGTACACGTCATCACCCTTTATGCTTTTACTCTCTTTCCTCACCATATAATCAATAAAATCGGCACGGAATGGAACATCGTGTGGCACGGCAGCACCCTTCGTGCTTTACACTCTTTCCTCACAATAACAAACAAAACAATGCACGGCATCACCCTTCGTGCTTTAACACTCTTCCTCACACAAATAACAATCACAAACAATGGGGCAAGGGAATAAACAAAATCATAATAGAAATCCCGGCAAGGGAACAACAATTAAACAATTAATCCCGGCAAGGGAACAACATCAATAATATCAACATCCCGGCAAGGGAGATAACCAACAAAGCAACAATATCCCGACAAGGAACAATTTAATATCACTTTCTCTTTCTTTCACTTTTATTTCACAATTCACTTCACAACTCGAGCCAATACTCTAGAGTTTTTACTTCACAACTCGAGCCAATGCTCTAAAAGTTCAATTGTCACTTATACTTTCACAATTTTGCTATACAACTTGAGCCAACGCTCCTCAATGTTCATAGGTCACAAATCTTTTCACAAACTTTATACAACAATTAGAAATCTTCACCAAGGCATGATAATACAACGAAATCATGAAAATTCACAATATAAGACTCACGGTCATGCTAGACACCAACGTATAGATACTCGTCATCATGCATGTACGTCGTACTCGACAATTAGCACGTAACAAATAAGACTCAACTCCTAATCCCTCAAGCTAAGGTTAGACCAAACACTTACCTCGAACTTTCATGGCCAACTCAAGTCTCAAACACCGCTTTTCCTTTCAAATTTGGCTCCAACTCAACCGTATCTATACACAATTGACTTAACAACATCAATAAATGCTAAACAATCCAAATCCAATGTTTAATTATAGCGTTCTAATCATTCTTCCCAAAAATCCAAAAATCGACCCCAAGCCCGTTTGGTCAAAACATGAGGTTTGGACCAAAACTCGATTACTCATTCACTCACGAGCCCGAATATATAATTTGTTTTCAAATCCGACCCCAAAACAAGGTCTAAATCACAATTAATTAAAAAGCCCTAATTCTACCCAAATCCCTAATTTCTACCCTTAATTACATGTTTTAGGCCTAGAAATCTAGTGGGTGTTAATGAAAAATGAAGAAAACAAGTTAAAGATTACTTAAAGGTTATGGTGAAGAAAGGCTTCAAAAATCGCCTAAGAGCTTTGGAGAAGAAGGGGTTTACGAAATTTTGCAATAATCCCGTAAGGCAACTGTTCTGGATTTTAAAAATTAACTGTGCGAATTTACTCTACGCGTTCGGGATGAGTCAGACCTGCTAGGCCTTCGCGATCGCGTGAAAAGGCTCGCGTTCGCGGAGCTTTGGCTCCTCAAGCCTACGCGTTCGCGTGCCAGTGGCCGCGTTCGTGATGAATAATTTGGTGACCCCTCCCCAGCACCTTACGCGCTCGCGAGTGGAGGGACGCGTTCGCGAAGGGTCTCCCCCCTCAGCTTCGCGTTCGCGTCACAACCTTCGCGTTCGCGAAGAAGAATTTGGGCACCTAGGATTTTTGCCTTACGCGTTCGTGGAAGGGACCACGCGAACGCGAAGGGTTAAATCCCTGGGCACTAACAGCAGAAATCTACAACTTTTCCACAAGTTCAAAACTTCGCGAAACACATCCGAAACACACCCTAGCCCTCGGGGCTCCTAACCAAACACACGTACTAACTCAACAACATCATACGAACTTATCCGT